CAGGATTTCAGTGCAGGTCGAGCAGGAGTTTGGCTTTTCCTGCTGCACAGCTCTGGTTCCCCAGAACACGGGAAACATTGGTGCTGCAAACTGCACGTCCCCACACAGCCTCTCCCTCTGTGTTCTGCTAAGGGCTGGAAATCTCACAGGGGTTTTTTTACTGCTTTTTCTTCCCTTCCAGGACAACGGGCCTGCCCAGAGCCGGAGGTCACTGCCCACCATGGAGAAGCAGCAGATGCTGAACGTGCAGCACCATCACCCGCCCCGGCTCCACAGCAGCAGCAGCTCCGAGTCGGCGCTGCCCGCCCAGCTCAGCGGGCTCCACATCTCCCCAGCCCTCAGGTAGCACCAGAGCGTGGCCCACACACCATGTCCCACCCCCTTTCTCTTCTTGAAAACTCTGCTTCAGGGCTATGAGTTGAGGCTGGGATGCGCCTGGAGCCCCAGAGGTGCTGGGGCAGCTCTGTTAGTTGAGTGTAGGTGGGAAAACAGAGCAAAACAAAAAGGGGGTTTGGAGAGTCCCAGCTCTGAACAAAATGCCCACGTGTATTTCTGCAGCAGCTGCAATGCTGAGGGGAAGCTTGTGATGCTGAAACAATGCTCAACACTTTGTGTCAGAGGTGGGTGAAGGTGCTGGTTTGCCAGGTCCTTGCAAGATCCTTCTGCTGCTGGTGGGGACAGGTAGATGAGCAGCCTCGGATCCAGTCCCCAGGCTGGGGCTCATGCCAGGGAGTGGCGGATCCTGGTTTTTCAAATGATATATATCACTGGCAGAGTGGAAGGGGTTTGCCCTCCTCAGCACTGGGATCACAGCACCACAGAGCCTGGAGCAAACACTTGCCCTGGGAGCTGGAGGTGTCCGCAGAGAAACTGAACCCCACTACGTTTGGGATGTTTATAAATGCAAAATCTGCTCAGTGCAGCTGCCCAGGAGGCTGGGAAATAAATAATGCTTGTAGGAGAGAAAAGGCTTTTGTGTAGCCAAGAAAAGTTTGGGTGGATAACTCGGATTTTGAGACAGGCCAGGCTGTGGGCTGAGATGCTTTCAGATGGCTGATGCTGATTTATGCTCCTCCAGACTGGCAAAATACTCTGCTAGAAAGTCATGTCTGTCTGGAGCACAAAGAGCAAAGAGAGTTTCTTTGCAGCTCAGCGACTCCGTGCCTGCACCAATCCAGCTTCCAGTGGTGCTGGGAGCCAGTGTATTCCCTGGGCTGCTCCAGGAACGTGAAGGCAGTTGGAAAGAGGAGAACAGCTCAGAAAAAAAATATTCCAGAGAACAAATTCTGATGTTATCTGCCTGTGAGCTGAGAGCTGGGAGCTGGGCTTGGGCCTTGGAGTGGAAATGGGTCAGAAGTGTGGACTCCTGGAATATGTGCTTGATTGGGCTGGTCCAAACCTGCCCCTTTTTGTAGGAAATGTGTGAATTGATGTGCCAGAGATGGGCAGATGGGCATTTGGGGAGGGTTTGGGTCAAGCTGGAGTTGTGGGGGTGGGTCCTCAACAGCCCTGACCCTGGCAGCAGTAGCCCTGTCCCTCTCCAGAGGTTGGACACCCAGAAGAAACTGATGGGTCACTCCCAGAAAACAGAGCTTTGGCTTTTCTTGGAAAGTCAATATTGTCTCCTTTTTTTTTTTTTTCCTCAGTTTGAATGTGAATTTTATTTCTTTTAAAGCAGGCAGGAATATAATTCTGGTGGAGAAAATGAGTCAGAAAATAGCTAACTGTGTAAAGGTGTCTGCTGGGGCTCAGGGCTCTTCCTGTTTTATTTGGTTTATAATGACCTTGGTGACCTTCTCCATGAAAAGGGAAAGTATCCCCTTCCCCCAGGGCTGCACTGTGGGGCCTCAGCAAAGCTCAGCAGCACTTTAATTCATCTGTCCTCAGCAGGACACTTAAACACATACCCAAAATACTTCTTATTCCAAACTGTTTCATGTTTTGATGTGTTGAATGAAGTGGAATAATGGTTGGAATCACCCTTTGTTGTCTGTCCTGCCCCCATCATGCTCCACAGGGACCAGGAGCTGGGGTGGCTTTTGATTTAAGCTCTTGGTTCTGCCTGGCAAATGGATCTTGTCATGGAGTAACCTCCAGGAGCTCTGATTTCTGCGGGTGGTGAGGGGGTTTGCCTCTCTCCCACCACTGGCTGCCCTGACAGTGCTTTGAGGGTTGGGTGGATCTCCTGACTTGACATAATTAATGCAACACATTGTTTTACCCCTTTTTTTTTTTTTTTTCCCCAATAAATTCCATGTGTGGCAGAACAATTTGCAGTGTCTGTGAGCAGCTGCCCTCTTTCCTGAAGGCATCTGGTAACTGGGCCAGCCCAAGCTGTGTTGCTCAACTGGAGCTGAGCAAGGAACAAGTTTAACTTCCCAGGTTCAAGGGCTGTTCCTGGGACAGACGTACCTCCAGGCAGGGAAACCCATGGGAACAGGGAGGTGTTTGATTCAATCTGTGGGAATGAGGAGGTTTCAGTACCTCCCTGATGAGCCGACAGTTGCTTTTTATATTTGACTTGAGCCTTTTTTGCTTTTCCTTAAAAACAGCCTCGACCCCTTGAAGTCTCTGTCACGGAACAGGAATGGGATTGATGTGGAGTCAGATGTCTACAAGATGCTTCAGGATTATGAAAAGCCTGTTTCAGAGCCGAAGCAGTCCGGATCCTTCCGGTACTTGCAGGGCATGTTGGAGGCTGGTGAGAATGGTAAGGAGGTTGGCACCCATAGGGTGTCCCTGCAAATCCCCAACACCTCCCCGTGACCAGGGCTGCTGGGCTTGAACCATTATTTGGTCCCTCTGCATCCTGTTCCTTGGCCACACACCCACCAAGCTGCTGTTGCAGGCTTCATCTCCTTCTCATTCCTTTGCTGAGGTCTAGAAGCTTGAAAAGCCTGTGAAGGACCCACCTGTGAGTGCTGGTGAGGTGGGTAGGTTTTCAGACCCCTCTGCTCTCCATCATGTCACCTGGTTTTGTCTGGGTGCTGTGGCAGCCCCACTTCAGGCACCCTGCAAGGGCAGCACCCTCCTGGCAGCTTTCACATCAGGGGGGCAGATGCTCTGAGCAGCATCTGGGGGCTTTAGCAAAGTTTGTGGCTGACTTGGGCATCGTGTGAAAGTGGGATTTGCAAACAGCCCCTGGGCAGAGCTGCTGGCTTTCCTGACTCCCTTCGTGAAGGGCAGGGGCCTGAAGTGGTTGTGCAAGATCCCCAGTGGGGAGCCCTGGGCCTGGTGAAGCAAATGGCATTTGCATAAGGACGTGGGATGGTCCTCAGCAAGGCAGGGATAGAGATCAGCAGCTCTTGGCTCACTTCTCAGGTCTGTCACAGCTTCCTGCCTGGGTCATTAACACAGGCAGGAGCCAACTCTGAGCTTCAAACACTAAGGTCCCCGAACTATCCATTGCAGCTTCTCTTTAGTCACCTTTCAGCCTTAAGTCCATTGGGGCTTTTATGCTCAAGCTTTCAGGTGTCACTTTACAATCATTAGGCAAGGCTGTTCCTTCTGCTTCCTTCCAAGAGCCTCATACTCCAATCATGTGAATCTGGGAGCTTAGATTTGATGGGAAAACACCAGCTACTGCAAATCTCATTATGAAGCTGCATGAGGTGGCAAGTCAGGCTGTTGTGTTTCAGTTTCTGTGTCTATAAAACGGTGGAGAACCCTGTTCTTTGACTAGGAGGATGTTGCTTCTTGCTTCACGAGAAGCATGACTGCAGGTAACTTCTGAGCATCAAGGGTTTCCAAGGGTTGAGTTTTCTCAGTGGTGCTGAGGCACGGCTGCAAAGCACAAATGGGATCAGCCTTGGAAGTGTGGGGGGCAAACATTAGAGCCCCTCCCTCCCATGGCAGGAAAACCCATGGTAGGGATGAGTTCCAGATGTACCTTCAAGTCCTTCACCAAGAGTGAGCAGGAGCAGCTTCCCAGTGCAGGGTCTGCTGCACCCCCAGGTCTCCTCGTTAGGAAGATGCAAATAGGAGGTGACCCTGTTAATCCCAATGAACACCCCAGCTGCCTTCCTGCCCTCTGTGCCAGGGAAGAAAATGGCATCTTTGCTCTTTTGCTCCCACCTCCCTTAGTATCCCACAGCCCTGGGGTGGCAGGAACCCAGCACTGCCCTTTGGGAGGAAGGGAGAAGGACAGGGGGGTGGATTGGGGCAGGGTTTGGGGCAAGGGTGCCAGGAGAGTCCCAGACCCTTCCCTCTTGGCCGTGCTGGGCACTGGGATGTGCCACTGGCTGCAGGACACGGGCTCGTGCCTCGGTGGTTGCAGCACTATCAGTGTTTATTGCATGAGGGATGAGAAATGAGGTGAAAAGCATCTTTCCTGGCACAAAGCTCTGGGATGTTTCAGCACAGTTGAAATCCCCGGGAGTGTTCCTGCTAGGTTGTTTTACAGCTTCCACCCCTGCTCCTTTTTCCTTAAGCCTAAAATAACACGTTTTAGCCAGAGTCTGCTGTGTGTTGTCCTTTTACAGTCAAGATCTCCTCTCCTGAGGAGCTGGGTGGCTCAGGCAAGGACCTGTTTTATATGGAAAGTGTTTCTGCTGGAAGCTGTATGTTCTTCAGCATCGCCAGCCCCATCCTGCACCCTTAAGGAGCAGCATTTTCTGAGGCTGAAGGGATCACAGGAGTCATAGACTCACAGAATCATTTTGGTTGGAAAAGAGTTTTAATGTCATCGAGCCCAACCTTTCCCCCAGCACTGCCAGGTCCACCACTAAACCATGTCCCTTTCATTGCCTCCTTTCCTGCCCTTGGGGCTTTGTGACAGGAGGCTTGGTGCCCCAGGAAACCTTCTCTTGTATCACAGTGTTGTATTTTAGATTAATTTAGATTATTTGAGATGAAATGAGTGTTCTAAGAAGAAACATGCAGACAGTCCTGTTCTTGTGTGGTTTGATTTGCCTAATCTCCACAGCCTTTCCTCTCTGTCTCCTTGCCTGATGGTGGATCTACCAAATGCACCTGAAGTGCTGGTGTGGCAGAATCTCTTCTTCCTGGAACTTGTTTGAGATTTCTGCAGTTTGTCTTTCTTAACTCATTACATGTATTGCAGCCAGATTAATCTCTCATCTCTGGATTCAGGCTGCTTTGCCTTTTGATAAGGTGTGTGCCCTGAGTTGGTGCTGTCACCACCCATGGATGGATCACCTGATGCAGCCAGTGCCTTCTGGCACCATCTGTGATCTGTTAGGATGAGCAGAGGGTCAGTGCAGTGTCCTGTGGTCACCTGCAGACCTGAGAGCTGTGACTCTGGAGGTCGTTGGTCTCACTGTTTGGTTTTTTCCTTACAAACAAGTTGCAGGTTCTGCTGTGGCAGGAGGAGCCTCTTCTGGCTGCTGAAGGGGGAAAAAAAAGGGGGTTGGAGGGTGTGTGGAAAAAAAACCCCACCAAATTTTCAATCTGTGTCTGTTTCAAATTCTTGGCAGGTGAAAAACTCGACAGACTGAGCAACCCCAGGAGCATCAAGTCCCCAGTGCCCAAGCTCGGCGGGGCCGTGTCTGGGCTGCAGATGCTCCCCGAGTGCACCCGCTGCGGGAACGGCATCGTGTGAGTGTCACCCCTGGGGGGACAGAGCCTGGGGGCCTGGCTGGGCCAGCTCCTGCCGGGCACGGGGGGTTACAGGTTATAGCAGAGGACCTTGAATTTATAGCAGAGGACCTTGAGTCCGGAGGAGGGTCAGAAGGTGACCAGAGGGCTGGAGCAGCTCTGCTCTGGAGCCAGGCTGGGAGAGCTGGGGTGTTCAGCCTGGAGAGGAGAAGGCTCCAGGGAGACCTTAGAGCACCTTCCAGTGCCTGAAGGGGCTCCAGGAAAGCTGGGGAGGGGCTTGGGACAAGGGCAGGTGGTGACAGAATGAAGGGTAATGGTTTTAAGGTGAAAGGGGGGAGACTTAGGTTAAACATCAGGAAGAAAAAAATCTTCACTATGAGGGTGGTGAGACCCTGGCCCAGGTTGCCCAGAGAAGCTGTGGCTGGCCCCGGAAGTCAAGGAGGCAGGGTGGGTGGGGCTTTGAGCAGCCTGTGCTGGTGGGAGATATCTCTGCCCATGGTAGAGGGTTGGAACTGGATGACCTTAAAGGTCCCTTACAACCCAAACCAGTCTGGGATTCTGTGATTCCAGGGCTGTATCTGGAGCAGAATACCTTGCATCCCTTTCTGGTTCTTGCTGCCCATCTATAAACCTGGCATTGAGCACCACACTTTGGATTGCCCCTTTTAAGGAAATCTCACAGCAAACCAGGGATGATTCATGGTGTGGTTTCTGCCCACAGTAGCTGCCCAGGGACTATGCCTAGGGCTGGCACTCTTTTAGCTGCCCTACAGAAGGAGAAACACCTCGAGGGTCAAGTGGAAGAGGGCAGCAGGTTATTTGTTTGTTTAAAAGTTACTCTCCAACAGATGGATGTTGGCTCTGATCTCAGAGAGCAGGAGTGGTTTTCTGCTTCATCCTACTGTAATTTATGTTCTGTTGTAATTTATTCTTTGGCAAATGCCTGTGACCAGGTTCTTGCTGGTGCTGTGAGCAGAGGGTCTCAGCTCCAGGATCCAGGGTATGTCCCTGCCCAGCCCAGCCAGCAGTGCTGGGGGGCCACTGGCTCCCAGCCTTCGGGTCTGGGCAGAACCTTGGTTGTTGGGGCTCTGCTTTGCCTCAAGCCACGGGGTGGGTGCCCTGGGGGATAAACAGGCATGGAGCACCCCTTCCCGTGGTAATATGGTGGAGCTGCACCTGGAGCAGCGTTGGGCAGGCTGAGATGTTGGGATGGGAGCCCAGAGTGACCCCCACACACTCCCCTGCCCGCTGAGCTCCCGTGTTTCCCGGAGGCGGCGGGAGGAGCCTGGTTGGTGCCCTCTCTTTCCCCCCACTCACCCCACCTCTCCCCCGGAATCCAGGGGCACCATCGTCAAAGCTCGGGACAAGCTCTACCACCCCGAGTGCTTCATGTGCGACGACTGCGGGCTGAACCTGAAGCAGCGCGGGTACTTCTTCCTGGAGGAGCAGCTGTACTGCGAGGCGCACGCCAAGGCGCGCGTCAAGCCCCCCGAGGGCTACGACGTGGTGGCCGTTTATCCCAACGCCAAAGTGGAACTGGTCTAAGGCCAGGCTGGGCTCCCGAGGAGCCGTGTGCCCACCCACACCCCCCCCAGCCGCCGGCAGGGCTCCGAGCAACCCCCCCTTCCCGGCGCCCGAGCTCAGAGGCCTTTTCCCAGATAAAACCGTTCACGCTTGGGACCTCCCGGGGATGGTGTTGAAAGCTTAGGAACAGGTTTTTCCCTTCTTTTTGACACTCTGCTTTTCGGGTTGCTGCGCTGGGCTGTTACTCTGTGCCGTGGCCTTGTCCAAGTTCTCTGTAAATATGGATTAATCCTCTACTTTGTTTCCTAGAAAACCAGTATTCCTTCCCCCCCCCTTTTTTTTTGCCCCTCTCTTCTTCTGAAAAAGCAAGGAGGATGTTCTAAAAAGCTCAAAGAAAATAAGGCACTTTAACAAAAGAAGCTGACTCCCGTATCCTGACCTTACCCTGCTGCCCTGGTGGTGACAAACCAAGCCCCTGAGGAACCAGGGACACGGTACCATGGGCTGGGGTCCCCAGCTTAGCCCCATCCAGCAGATGTGCTGCAGAAGGACTGTCTCTTAGAGCAGTATTTGCTGTGAGATTCCCTGGATCAGGGCACTGCAGTGCAAGGTTGACAGGCATTGATCCCAGTTCCCTGAGACGTCTCCACACAGAGCACGTGATGAGGCTTTTTTTCTTTCTCCTTCCACTGCTAATTCAGTTCTGTCATCAGATCCCCCCTTTTGAGGCAGCACCTCAAAAGGACACTGAGGTAGCAGAGCCCACCCTGCTCTTCCCTCCCACACTCCTGCTCCACAGCTGCCCTTGCTCGGGCCATCCTGACTCTTTACCACCTCTTGCTGTATTTTTGTGGTCCTTTATTTCTAGATCCCCAGACTGCTGCCATGAGGTGGTGGTGATAAAATCCCTCCAGGCACTTGGGAAGTATCAGGAGCAGCAGGGAGGACCAAATCCAGAGGCAGCAGGTTTGGATTTGTACCCATAACCCAAGGCAGGTATTTCAGCCAGGTCCATCACCCACTTTATTTCATGGGGAAAAGTTTTGTAGGATCTTGGGATGTTGTTGGCAAAATGGGATTTATTTTTTTTTCATGTTAGTGTTTGGAGGAGAGAGTTTAGTCCCTCAGCTACTGGTGTGGTGGGAGCCAATTTTTGGTACCACAGAATTACTTCTGCTTTGTACAAGCCTCCTGCCTCCTCCTCACTTGAGAGAGGGAGGACATGGGGGACAAAAGTAAACGTCTGTGCTGACTTCCCTTCCATGGAAAAGGAAAATCAGAGAGGGGGCAATGGCCAAAGCACTCCTTCTCCTTCTGGCTTCCCAGGACAGGGGGCTAAGAAATCTGGGACTGGAGAAGGGTCAGGAGCACTATCTGTGCCATTTCTTCTACAGGTGCTGCACCCAGAGGCAGGAGGGGTTTAAATTATTCAAGTACAAGAATCACGTGGGAATTTTTATCACAGTGCTGACCCTGATTTTTCTTGTATTTGCATAGCCTTGCTTGGTAGGTTGGACCATCTGAGGGGAAATACTTGGGACAGCTGTAGGTGATGAGGAGACTTTAACTTCAATCCAAGCTCCCACAAGTGGGTTTTTCCATGCGGTTTGTCTCGTGATGCCCTTTCTTAGGAATAATCAAAGCATCTGATCCCCAAAAGGAGCCCAAAGCTGGAGCTGCCTCTCAGAAACCCATCCCAGGGCACGCTGATTCCTGGCTTCATCCAGTCACGGGGCTTGCAGGAGCTGCCCAAGGCTGGGAGAGCCTCTCCTGTCACCGGGGGACAGTTTGATTCTGTGGCACGTGGGGAGGGTGTGGCTGAGATCCAGAATAAAGTTGTGCTGTCGGTTTTATGTCTCACAATACAGAGCTTGGCCTTTGCTGGGTCTGTGGCTCTGAGAGCCTGGTCAGGCTTGGTCAGTGTTTTGGGGCGTGTTGGTTGTTTTTTTAACTCCTGGGTCTCTCCTGGGACCCCGTGTCCCCTCGGGTGCCAGAAGGGCCATCGTGTCTCGGTTCCTGTGATGCTCCAGAGCTTCTCCACCTCTGCCCAGTGTGAGGCCCAGGAGCTGGGTTTCCTAGCAGCTTTTCACCAGCCCCAACGCTGCTCAGGAGGCACCTTCTCCCACCTGATGGCCCAGGGGCTGCAGCTGTGCAGGGCTGGGAGTGTCACCTTGTCACCTGCCCCATCCCTGTGGGAGTGATGGTGGGGGCAAAGCCTGTTCCAAAAGCCCTGTCATTGCTGACCTTGAACCCCAGAATCCCACAGGGTGGTAGGAGCCTGGGACCAGGAGCATGAGGGCTGGCCCAGGGGGGCTCAGCAGCTGAACTAGGGGGGGTGTTGGCTTCTCTAGTGAAATCTCAATGGGTCTGCTTGTAACAGTTGTTTAGTATTTGATTCACTGGTATGTGGGACAGCCAGAAGTGATGTGAGTTCAGAGCCTGCAACAGAAACCTAATCCCAAAGGTTTGTTTTGGAAAGTGTTCATATAGAGGAATTAAATGTGCCTAAAATTATTTCAAATGACAAAGGCTCTGGGGATCCACATGTGGCAGGAACTCACACACTGTGGGTCTGCAGAACTCAGCCTCTAATTAGTGCCCATATTCAAATAATGAACATGCTTATGACTCTCCAATTAGTGGTTTTTCCATTCACCCTTGAATGTCTACATGTGTTGGATGTGTTTCTATGTCACAGTCACCAAGCCCCCCAGCCCCTCTGCCCTGGGCACTGCTGCTGTGGGGCTCCAGCTCCCTGGGACAACCCCTGGATGTGAGGCTGGGGGGGACACAGGGTGCACCCCCGAGCCCCCCTGCTGTCCCCCCTGGTCCCTGCCAACCTCAGGAGCCTCCTCCAGGCTCCTCCTTGCTCTGGGAAAAAAAAAAAAAAGGCGGGTAAGATCAAACGAGCCAGGGCACCGTTTATTAACCAAACGAGGTGGGACCAGGGCCAGACTGATTCAAGTTCTAATTGTTTAACTTTTTCCATGTATCATCATTAAAGTTTCCTACTTAGCTGGGCATTATTTCCACCCCCTTTCTTCTGCTGCTTTTGTTTGGAGCTGTTTAACTTTGCTTTTTATTGGATGGCTGCCCCAGGGACCTTAACAAAATATCTTTGCTGGTCCATTTGTATTAGGATGGAAGTTCTGGTGCCACGGGAGGGGAGGCAGAGGGAGAGAGGCTCTTCAGAGGAGTTCCCTCTCTTCCCTTTCTCATGCATAAAAGAGGCAATTTTAATTAGTGCAGAGAACAAAATCTTCCCCACACGTATAATAAAACACACAAAACTGCTCCTGACTGACAGGGAAGTTGTCTGCAAGTTATTTTGCCTCTCTGTTTCTCCCTGGGAAAGCCCAGGCTGTCAGGAGACACCACAGAGCTCCCCCTGCCTGGGAGCAGCTTCTCACACCAGGGCACTTACACAGATTGAATTTTTATGTAGTCCTAAAGTGGTTCCTTCGTGCAGGGAGGGCCTGGGCTGCAGCCAGTGCTGCTCATCGGGCAGCTCATGTTCTCATGTGCACAGGGTGGGCTCATGCTGGGCAGAGATGCTGCTCAAGCAGCTTCGGGCTTGTAGCTTTATTCATGAAAGTGTTACTTGTTTTGAAGAAACACTTCAGTTCTTTTGCTCACAAAGCTGAAGGGTACTGGGAGGCCAGTGGTGAGTGTCTGTCCTCCCCGAGCTGATTAGTTTAGAAGGGATTCAAGCTGCTGGCACCGTGGGATGTCAGGGCTTGCACCCGAGGGACATGGAGCAGCATCATTGGAAAAGCTGGAGGGGAGGACCTCAGGAAGCCACCAGCTCCCTGCTCCTGTCCCCAGGCTGCACCAGCCACCCGTGTCCCTCCTGGGAGGTGTCCAGTCCCTCCTCAGGACAGCTTCCCCTCCTCAGGACAGCTTCCCCTCCTCAGGACAGCTTCCCAGCTGCCTTTCAGAGCATCACTGGGGGGTGCGGAGGAGTGCACGGGGTGCACAGGGTAAGCAGTGATGAATGGGGGTACAGGGGGCTGCGTAGGGGGTGCTGGGGTGCACATGGGGCACCTGGAGTGTGGGAGCAGGATCAGCTCCATCAGCAGGATCAGGGTCCCGGGCCCGTCTCCTGCTCCACCTAGTGATGGAAACCGAAATACCCCGCCGTGTCTCGCAACGAGAGAACCTGCTCCCGAAGGAGGGTTCCCCGCCTGGTGGGCCGGTTCCCGGGTGGGCACAGCCAAGCCCAGCAGAGGACGAGGCTTCCAAAGAGCCTGTGGCCAAGGCAGCGCGGGGAGAGGCGGGTTGAAGCCACAGGGATGGATTTGAGCCCGTCCCCTGGACACTCAGGTGCCGTCAGGCATCCCAGCCCCCCTCCTGCCAGATCCCTTGCCTCTCCTGGCACCAGTGCAGCCCTGCCCCCCCTCACCCACACCACCGTGCCCTGCCCCAAAGGCTGAGGGGCCAGGGAAGCAGGACAGGCTGGTGCTGCCCCCCAACCTGCGTGCTGCTCTTCTCATCAGGACACCTGATGCGTCTGCCCCAGCTGTGGGGGGCAGGTGTGTGGTGCCCTGCCAGCCTGCAGGGGTGGGGTGTCTTACCTGAGCCCAGTGACACTGCACCAGGTAAAAGTACTGAAATCCTTGGTGAAGGGTCTTGGGAAAGCTGCTTGCACCAGAGCAGATGAGTTTGGGGGTCTCATCCCAGCCCTCCCACGTGTGCCACAGGCACCCTGGCTCTTTTACAGGATTCCTACCACAAACATGCTTGCCTGGAAACCAGTCACACTGAGTGCTGGTCTGGCCAGCCCTGCCTAGGAGGGGAAAAGCTCCCCCAGCACTGCCAGGAAGCAGGAAGCAGTGGCACAGCTGCCCCTAAGCTCTGAGTCCCATCAATGAACAGGGTTCCACAGGAGCCTTGCACAGGGAGATCCTCTGTGCTGCTAAACGAGCAGCAAGGCTGACATGAGCCACGGGCCTTTGCAGGAGTTGCCAAAGACTGTTTTATCTCAGATGCCATCAATCCAGACATGGCCCTGATGGACAGGG